GGGGGGGGGTGGGGGGGGCACACGGCCCTTTGTGCGGCTCTGTTTTATGTAGAAAGCCTATCTCAGGTAGCAGGAAGTGGGATCGCCTCAGAAAGGTGTGAACTCCTGACATTGTGGGTCCTTTAGTCCCACCAGGATTCAGCTGGAGGAAAGCAGGAAAAAAAGCACAAATACCAAGCAGTCATTAGACAGGGACTTGTCAGGTTGCCGTTTCTTTCCGTGAAGTCGCTGCCCCGGGGTGGGCGGAGTTAGGCATTCAGGTGACACAAGGTGTGGGGTGCTGGAGGCCGGTCAGCTCCTAGGACCAGCAAATACGGGGTCACCGCTGTCCTGAGGCTCGGGCGTCCGGGCTTCCTGGTCCTTGCCGCGGGCAGCGGAGGGCGTTCCTGTGGTACCTACCCAGCGAGTGGGTTTTTCTCTCCGGCTTTTCTCTTTGACGTGAGGTCAGGGCAAGTGGTTTCCAGCTGGTCGCCCGGGTCAGGCCGCCCCACAGTAGTGGTGGACATGCCGGCTCTCACAGGCTGGACCTCTCTCCGGGTCCGGATCCGGGTCCGGGTCACTCAGTCGAGCTTGTGTCTTTTCAAGGGCACCTTTTGCAGTAAGTGATTTAGCTACTCAACCCGTGTTTCCGGCGGGATTTCTTTCAAAGTTGGGTCCTCCGTGGTGAGACCGGGGCACTGTTGCTGGACACGCAGGTAAAGTCACCTTGTCCGTGCAGCTCATGTGTCCGTCAGTGTCCACAGGAAATCAGAATTCGAAGCGAACGGGGGTTCCGTTGTTTGCTCCGCGCTCGGCAAGATGCCCGCGCACTCGTGCAGGGCGCTCGCGAGCGGAGCGCAGTCTGTGTTCGTCACTTACGAGTAAATGTGCTTTTCCCCCCACTCTGTTCTCAGGTCCATTTTAACCGGGATGGATCCTTGATCGTGTCAAGCAGCTACGATGGTCTCTGGTAAGTGCAGGCATTTCCCTCATTCGCTCAGCAAACGTGTGTTTGTTTATTTGTAAATGTTTATTTTGAGAGAGAGAGCGAGCAGGGAGGGGCAGAGGTGGGGGGCAGAGAGAATCCCAAGCAGGCTCTGACTGTCAGCACAGAGCCTGACATGGGGCTCGAACTCACAAACCATGAGATCGTGACCTGACTCGAAACCAAGAGCTGGACGCTTAACTGACTGAGCCACCCAGGCGCCCCAGCAAACATTTATTTAAAGGCGCCATTTTGGCCCCGGGGGGACAATAGTGAAAACAAGGCAAGCGGGTTTGTCCCCGAGAAGAGCTTATGGCTGTCACGGGGCTGCGGCAGACGGACACACGGCAGCCCCTGTCTCCGGAGGGACAGCAGGGCCGCGGGGAGGGCTCCTGGTACAGGGAGGCCCGGGGACGCGCTTCTGCTCAGGACTCCTCTTTGTGGGCACGGAGCGTGCCCTTGACGAGTTCACGGGCGCGGGTGGCGTGCGGACCCTGGGAGGACCGGACTCCCGTCCCGAGTGGGTGGAGCGGAGCGGAGATCCCGCCACAGAGGAGGTGAGGAGGTCGAGGGGACGTGGCCTCGCGGGGAGCGTCCGCTCCAGGCCGCGTGAAGGACGCCCGTAGAGCTTGGGATCTGTAACCTGAGTGTTCAGGATTCTTCCGGAGGCGTGAGGAAGAGGTGGAAGTCGGCGTTGTCCGTTTAACTCAGCAGACTCCGTGATGGGGGCACGAGGCTGGGGAGCGTCAGGCTGGGTCTGCGGGGACCGTGTCCTGGCTCGTCAGGCCCGGTCACCGGGAGGGGCGGGGAGGCAGCGGCCACTGCTGGCACGATCGCTCAAGAGCCTCCCGATTACGAGGCGGAGAGAGCGCGACCGGGAGTTGGTCTGTGTTCAGTACAAAGAGGGCACGGGAGTGATACGCGTAGAAGTGCCGCGGGAGAGCGGAAGCGCGTGCTGCGGTCACCCGCGTGCAGGCCACCGGGCTCGCGGGAGAAAGCCTTTGGTCTCTCGTTCTCTCTTTTTTAAAGTCGTGTATCTTCTTTTTTCCTTTAAGTTTATTTATTTATTTAATTTAATTTAATTTTTTTTTTAACGTTTACTTATTTTTGAGACAGAGAGA